CTCTCTCTCTCTCTCTCTCTCTCTCTCTCTCTCTCTCTCTCTCTCCTTCTTGCTGTCTATATCTCTCCGTTATGGTGGGATCTAGATGGTGATGGAGTTAATATAGTGTAACGATAAGAGAGGAAGATATTAATAAACAAGTTTTGATAGAACGGGGAAACCCATGTATTGTGGGAATTAAGAATGGTGATGGAACCTCCTCATGTAATGTCAAAACTAACTATGTTAAAACATTTATTTCATCAGTGAGAAACATTTTCGGTTTCACCCAAAAGAAACTAAAACAGAACATTGTTTTTTTAGGAAGCTCTTTTTAATGCTTACGTAAGTTTACTTTTGTTAATGTCCATTGAGTCAAGAAATGAAATTGGAAATCGAATCATGCTAAAATTAGATATTAATTATTTAATTGGTCTATTTCTTCTCTAAGCAAAAGTAAGTTTACTTTTGTTAATGTCCATTGAGTCAAGAAATGAAATTGGAAATCGAATCATGCTAAAATTAGATATTAATTATTTAATTGGTCTATTTCTTCTCTAAGCAAAAGTAAGAACGTGAGGGAAAAACATATAATACTACTTAGATTTTCTTCTAATTTCACAAGAGAGAAAATAAATAGGGATTGTAAAAAAGAAAAACAATTAAAAAGTCTCTTTTATTTATTAGAGATAGGTGTATATATATATATAAATATTATCTAAATCAAATATGTGAGTATGAAATGTAATTACATGAGATTAATTGTTAATTGAATTAATTTCATAAGAATAATTTGAATTCTATCATACTCCCTCAGTCTAAGTGAGAGATTAAAAAACACTTAGACTGGTCCAAAAATCATCAAAAAGAATTTTATCACACTCCCTTTTCATATTGTTGATTGATATACTATGTTTGTAACAAATTTCATCAGCATCAAATTTTTAACTCTTACAATATTAGGTCCTATCCATTCGAAAAAATTATTTTTCATAATTGTTAACGGTTGAACTCGCTTCTAGTCGCATCAAAGCCAACAAACTCAGTTTCCTCACTAATGTAGTAGAGGGATAACCAAGGATCAATCCAAGGACTCAACTATGATTAAGTTTTAGAATGTAGAGTTAATCTTGCTTTTTATTTTACTAATTATCTAAACTACTAATGCAAGGTGGAGTAATAGAATGAAAACAAAGAAATTAAAATGGAAAAGAAAAGTTAAACTATAATCTGCTTTAAAAATGTGAAGTGGAAAATGATGAGGCAAACTAGATTAGTGCTAAAAAAAATGGATAAAAACAGAACCTAAAAACTAAAGCTGATTAAGAAATCACAGTTTAAAGGAATAAAGAAAACGAAATTTGAATGAGCTATACTATCACATAGAAATGATCAAATTAAAACAAAATTTCCAAAGAATGAAAGTCAGATAACAGAACCTAAATGGAAGGAAAAGTAAAATCACAATCTGGACTAAAGACTATTCTAACATCAATTCAACAGAAACACTAAAAATCAAAGAATCAGAATAAGGAAAATTGGTTAGAATCAAGAACTGGAATCAAATTCATATAGAATCAATTCACATAGTGGTTGATCATATATCATGAAGACATTCTTTTAAAATAAGCCCATTACAGGATCTTAAAGTTCATTTCCAGAACTTATAAGTCAATGATCATAACTCAGTTAATCAAAAACACAATGAATCTAAATCAAATTCATGCTCCTAATCAATATCAGATATGTAATCTATTCTAACGGCAAATAAAACCTACCATCTACGCTAAAACATATAAAATCCTAATTAAAATCAAATAACAAAAGATACTATATGATTTACAATATTTTTTTTCATTCATTGTCCTCATCTCCAACTCCAGAACACATTTCGATAATGCATGTTCACTGTGGAGTCATATAATTCCCAAAGGAATTTCAATTATGCGAAGTTATAGAGTCCCAATCAATTTTCAAAGTAAAACCATTGACAGAAGCTGTTCTATTAAAAAACGATATTTTTATTGGTGGAACTCACCTCCAACTCGAGAAGACATCTCGATATGCAGAGTTCCAGAGTTCAACTCATTTTTAATGAAAAACAAAAAACACAATTACATAATCACACAAGAAAACGGAAATATTGAAAAAAATAAATCAACATAACAGAATAATAAAGCACTCAACACAGAGAAACATCAATATAAAAGAAACTTTATTAATGAGAAACGAAGAGTACCGAAAGAGGCGCAATCGCGATCACCACGGCTGTCACCACAGTAAATGTTCGGTCAAACGCAAGAAAAACGAAAACCTACCCTATAAAAAGCGTAAACCCTAAGCTAAAAATGAATGTAAAACTGTAGAGTAGTCTCCGTGTTCTGAAAAAATGTCATGAAGAAAACCCTTTATATAGGGTTGAAGAAAGAAGATAAAGAAAAAGAGGAACCTTCTTCAGTACGCTTTGAGCTTACCCATCGGACGGTCACCGTTCTTTCCTCGCGAGCTCCATCTCCAGTCATCTGATCCTCTGCACGTGGCAGATCCGGTCAGCTCTTCTTTCTCACCGGTCAGCTCCGGTCATCTTCTCCGGGCAGGCGATGCGCTCCAGCTTTTCAACTTGCTTCGCTCTCTCGCTTCTTTTCTCGAGCAAGCCCTAGCTTTTGGGTGATTTCTCTCTTTGCTCTGCCCTAGCTCGATGCGTGCAAAAGGGAAAAATGAAGCCTTCGAATATTGACCCTCAAAGCAATGGCAGCCACTAAAACGCACAGTTTCACTAATTGGACTTCAGCCCACCAGCGTTTGCAACAACAGCGCTCCCAAAACGCGTCGTTTCACTGAAGTGAAGTCAAACCCTGCTGCGGCCCAAATTTTAATCAATAAGCACCTCCAACGTCTCCGTCTCTAAAAATTTCATTTTTATCCTAACACATGTATGTCCTACTTTTTTTTTAAAATTTTATTTTTAACTTTTTTCTTTTCTTATTAAAAATATTTTAATAAATATTTTTTTTATTTTCTCACCATTTTAATAATAATTCTATTTTAATTTAACATTTAAATATTATTTAATATAATTTTATATTTTAATAATTATTAAAATATGATTTATATTATAATAATATCTATATTAAAAAATAAAAATAAATTAATAATAATAATAAAATAAAATTTGATTTAATATATTCAAATATATTAAATTAAATTAAAATATTAAAATAAATTAAACAATTATTAAATTTTAAATAAAAACATAAATTTCCAAAACTTGTTTATCGATATCAAAATAAGTTTTGTTTTTCATTTAAAATTTAATTAAAAATTATAGGATTATTTATTATATTTTTATATATTAATAATTATTAAAAAATAATAATTTTATTAAAAATAATAAAAATAATAATAACTAAAATAAAGTGACAATAATGAAAATAAAAATAATATTAAAAATCACATTTAATATATTTAAACATATTAACTTATATTAAAATATTATATTAAATTAAATAATTATTAAATTTAAATAAAAATAAATATTTATTTATTGGATATTCATATTTGTATTATAAATTTACCGGATCTGTATATCCGACTAACACATATTTCTAAAATTTTGATTTTATTTAAATTTTAATAATTATTTAATTTAATTAATATTTTGATAAAATTTAATATATTTAAATATATTAAATGTGATTTTTAATATTATTTTTATTTTCATGGTTATTTTTATTTTTATTTTTTAATAAAACTATTATAAAAATATAAATCATATTTTAATAATTATTAAATTATAAAATATAAAATAATATTATAATTTTAAATTAAATTAAATATTGCTTAAATTTTAAATAAAAAGATTTTGATATCTGATAAACAAATTTTTAAAAGAATTTGTTTTTATTTAAAATTTAATAATTATTTAACTTATTTTAATATTTAATATAATTTATTATATTTCATTATATTAAATCAAATTTTATACTATTTTTACTTTTATTATTTTATTTTTAGTATTTTTTATCTTTATTATTTTTATTTTTATTTTTTTAATATTACTATTATTATAATATAAATTATATTTTAATAATTATTAAAATATAAAATTATATTAAATAATAATTAAATTTTAAATTAAATTATATTATTATTAAGGTGATGTAGAATGCCTCTAATAAGAAAGAGAATAAAATAAAACGATGTTTATCAAAGTATCTTTAACAGGAAAGATATGAAAATAAAAAGATAGATGTGCAGGATGTTAGAAGGTTAAAATTGAAATTTTTGAAGGTGCACGATGAGATGTTAGAGGTGTGGGATGAAACACTCAAATAGCAGTGGCAACCGCGCCTATTCTTTCCTAAGATCGGTCCAATTCTCCAAGCATGGCAGCAGGTTACTCCCTCCACCACCACCACTTCCTACACCTTCCTATTCTCATTTTGCCCTCCAGTTAAACTTTTTTTCTTATGGAGTTGACATAATAAATCAAGATTAGTTGAACAAGGCATTTCCCTCATTTTTCTTTTTTAAAAGATTTGTTTTATGTAAAATCTACACAAATAAACATTTACAATGTTCATAAATTAAAATTTACAAAAAAAAAATAATAAACCACAAACAAAAAAAATTAAAAGAGTTGAAACGTGAAGTCCTAAATGGATATGGGAAATCCGTTCAACCTTCAACAGATGTCAACATCCGTGGACAATTCTCAAGATCCGTTGAAGGCTGAACGAATTTCCCACATTCGTTCAAGCCTTCGCGTTTATCTTCTTCCTCTTACACATCACACCACATACATCTATTTATAGAGCACATATACAAAAAGAACAAAAAGAAGGAAGCTTTAACCACAAAAATGTGCAAGGGAAGAATAAACGAAGAGAAAGAGGGAAGGAATAAGGGCTCTGTGTGTGTGAAGAAGAGAGGAAGATAGAAAGTAAAGGGGTGAAGGCTCTATGTGTGAAGAAGAGAGAAAGAGAGAAAGAGAGAAAGTGAGGGGGTGATGTTTGTGTGTAAATAGAGACAAAGAAAAGTGAAGGGATGAAAGCTGCAGAATTAGGGTTTTTAAAAAGGTAAATAAAATTAAATGGTAAAAGTTAAAAGATTTTAACATTTTTGAAATAAGAAAAAATCTAAAAAGATATAGAGAGCAGTTGGGTGTTGGAGGGAGTAACTCTCGAATCTCAAAGCCTAAGCAACCAATGTAGCAGCCAAGCTCATATGCATAGTGTGGCAACAACGTTTTGAGTAGGTAAAACCAGTCCTCAATGTCTGACCAAAAATAATCAACCCAATCCCAAGTGTGGCATCAACTGCCAAGGGCTTCAGCCCACTCCAAAACGTGACCATCTTCTTTAAGAGTATTACTCCCTCCACCAGCACACAATACTCCCTGCACCTCCTCAAATTTTTTTATTTCTAAAACTATCCTTAGGTTAAAAGTTTATTACTTTTACCATTTAAGATTTTTTAAGTTATCTGAAAATCCTAATTCTACCTCACTTATTCACTGCTATGTTGCACCCCCACTCCTACATCTCATGGATTCTCTTCTCTCTTTCGTTTCGTTTGAGTTCTTCTCCTCTCTTCTTCTTTTCCTTTCATTTTCGTTCATTCTTCTCCTTTCCGGTTTCCTTTTTTGGTTTCATTGCTTCCATCGGCGGTTGATTCCTGGTGTGGAGGAGCGTTGTTGTTTCGTCAATGAGTCTGTGAAGGCCATAACGGAAATGGGACATCCGTTTGGTCTTGAACGAATACCGACATACGTTTAAGGCCTTAAAAAATCACATTCTCTTCTCACCATTTATCTCTCAGATAATTTATTGAAATCATCTATTGTATTTCATTGGTTTTTCAACTTCACCACCAATCTTCAAAGCCTTTCCCTTTATAATAACTTGGTAGACGGTCCCATCCCAGATGAATTTGGGAAAGTAATGAACTCTCTTGAAGCTCTCAGCCTTGGCAAAAACAAACTGAAAGGCGGGATTCTAGCTTCCTTGGGAACATATGCACATTAAAGATATTATACCTCAAGAGTAATAGTTTGAATGGGAAAATTTCTAGCTTCATTCAGAATTCCTCAAGGTGCAACATAACACTTGAGATACTATATTTATCTAATAACTTGATTTTTGGAAAACTACCTAATATTTCAGTGTTTAAATATTTGCGATATTTGTATCTTTCCAACAATCAATTAACTGGAGAAATACCAGAAAGCATCGGGTTGCTTTATAAGTTACAGTTTCTTCATCTTGAGAAAAATTATTTGGAGGCGATATCAATGAATTGCATCTCACAAAGTTGTCCCAATTGGTAGAACTAGACTTATTAGACAACGGAAGTGGGTATCCGTTCAAGGCCAAACAGATGTCCCACTTCCATTGTGTCCTTCGGGTTCTCTCTTTAATATTTAATTTTTTAATTTTTCGTTTGCTGGAAGCTTCACATTGATGGATGGAAGGCGAATCGAAATGGCGATAATGTGTTGATAGGTGTGGTGAGGCAGAACTTCAAGGTAAAAGTTAAAACAAAAATTAAATATTACCGAAGGGAAAAAAGGGAATGGGGAGGTGAAGGGAGAAGTGTGTGGTGGTGGAGGGAGTTGATGAGTGAATAAAATGTAATTGCATTCATATCTTAGTTTAGGCCATTTACATACATAATTGCATTAATTGAATGATTTGGTCATGCATTATTCTTGTTTCGGATCATACATTGAGATTTTGTGTTTTTCTTGTAGATTGGTGATTCTAAGTGCCAAAATCAAAATTTGGGAAGAATTGATGTATAAGATGAAGAGATGAAACCAGAGAGTTCCACAACCTAGTTGTGGATAGTTCCACGACTTGTGGATTTTGCTCCAAAATGCAGATGCAAAACAGTGAGTTCCACAACTGAGCTGTGAAAGTTTCCACAACCTGTGGATTTAGCTCAAGAGAATAGAAGACAAAACAGAGTGTTCCACAAGTGAGTTGTGGTTTTTACCGCAACCTGTGGATTTACTTCAGGAAATGCAGAATTGAAACCAGAGAAGAGCACAAGCAGATTGTGGATTTTTCCATGAGCTGTGGAATTTTTCAGAGCAGTTACTAACCTCTTTAATGACGTGGATTTAAAGATATTTAAATTAAATAGAAATTAATGACAGTTACTTAGACAGATTAACCACCCTCTTAAAAAGAGTAATGAAGGGGATTAAAGAAGGGAGAGAAATAGAATTGAAAAAGGGGAAAAAAAGATGAAAAACGACGCAGGAGGATAGGAACGTTCACGCCACAACTTCAACACTTCTTCTTCTTCTTCTTTTGGTTTGCTTTTGAATTTTACATTATGCAGAACTGAATTTCCTTTTGTTAGAGGATTGATGTAGTACTTTGGATTATAATTTCTAAACCTTTTCAATTGATGTTTTGTTAATTTTAATTGTCTTAGTGTTCTATTTATGTTCTAATGTCTATTTTCAAAATTGAGAAATTGGGGATTGTTTGCGATTGTAAATAGAACAAATTAGATGTTGTCACAATTGGGAAATTGGGACAACTAATTAGTTTGCAATTGAGATGATATTGTTCTACATGATTTTATTGAATTTTGTAACTGACCTAAGGGATTGGAGGTTCGAATTCAATAAATAAGTTTATCTATCTAAGGAATTAGGGGTAAACAAGCTCTTAATAAACTCAAGTGGATAATTATAATTCACACATCAATTGGAAAGGGTAGGAATTTATATGAAAATGTATGAAATCAATTCTCTAACATTGTTTATATTATTTGAATTCCAATCACTTGTTTATGTTCATCATTTACTTTGATATTTTTGTTGCTCAAAATTACGTGAATTAGTAATCTAGTACTCAACTCATTCAATCCTAGAGGACGATATTTTGTTACTACAATAATGATTAGTGCACTTGCCAAACATTCATCAGGAGTAACTCTCCTTCTTTAATCTGCAGCCCAAGTTCCAGCCAGCCCAAAGCTATCAGCGGCCCAATTATAATGTAGTAAACTAATTTCAGCAGCAGCCCATTTATTAAGTAGCTTTCAAATTTCTCACAACCTACAAAGATTAAGGCCCACTCCTAAAATTAGCCCAAGGGCCTTCCTACAACAAGGAAAAGAAATCAATCCAAAAATTAAAGAAAAGAAAAAGAAATTTAAGAAAGATTTTTATTAAAGATTTTCAATTTTTTTTATAATTATTAACAAAATCTAAAAATTACACCTAAAACCTATTTTTAACTAAAATTCTATAAAACTAAAAAGTTAAAGGAAAAACCTAAAATCATCCTAATTCTACCCAATTAAAAACTAAAATACACTAAAAAGGACTTCTAGACACAGAAAAACATGTAAATTTGGAGAGTTATCACTAACACACATACAAAGAAATCTAACATTATAAGTTTGATAAGATTTCAGCTTGCATTGGTCTCTGAAATACATGTAATGAAATTGGTCACAGATAATCAAATCAAATATGCATTCAGAGAACAATACAAATATCTCAACCGAAATTTTATCAAACTTATCCATAAATTCTAAAGTACATGTTATAACAAATTATGAAAAATAATTTTTTCAAAATATCTGATCGGGCAATTTGAAATTTAATACAAACAATTAAAAGTTTCATCATTTGTGTTAAATCTCAAACGGAAACTTCACTCAATGATTTCATACTACAAATATTCAAAATTTAATCAACAATATATTGCGAAAATTCAATCTAAAAAGTTTACCTAACATGACAATAATAATTAACACAAGAAACTTAATCAATCATGTGTATAATAGAAAAACAAAAAATCACTTCCAATAATCAATAACCAATAACTAAAGTCATATCTCAAATAACCAATCATACTCCCTCAGTTTAAGTGAGAGACTAAAAAACGCTTAGACTGGTCCAAAAATCATTAAAAAGAATTTTATCACACTCTCTTTTCATATTCTTGATCAATGCGACGTTCATTCATCCAATTCTAATTCAAACTATGTTCGTAACAAATTTCATCGGTCTCAAATTTTTAACTATCACAAGGTTATTAGGCCCTACCCATTCGAAAAAATTATTTTTCATAATTGCTAACACACATACAAATAAATCTAATATTATAAGTTTGATAAGATTTCGGCAACATTTTGCATTAGTCTCCAAAATACACGTAATGAAAGTTGTCACCGATATTAAAATCAAATATGCATCCGGAGAACAATACAAATATCTCAACCGAAATTTTATCAAACTTATCCATAAATTTCAATGTACATGTTATAACAAATTGTGAAAAATAATTTTTCCAAAATATCCGATCGGACAATTCGAAATTTAATACAAACAATTAAAAGTTTAATCATTTGTGATAAATCTCAAACGGAAACTTCACTTAATGATTTCATACTACAAATATTCAAAATTTAATCAACAATATATTGCGAAAATCCAATCTAAAAAGTTTACCTAACATCACAATCATAATTAACACAAGAAAACTTAATCAATCATGCATAAGAGACAATGTATAACAGAAAAACAAAAAATCACATTTCCAATAATCAATAACCAATAACTAAAAATCATATCTCCAACAACCAATCATATCTCAAAACTAAAATTCACATATCCAATAATTAATAACCAAAAAGAAATAATCAATCACATATACAATAACTAATAACCAATAACCAACCAAAAAATTAACTTTAGGATTGAAAATGGATATCACTAAAAGAATGGAGGGAAAGAGTTTTTAAATAATGGATATTGGGCACAAGCAATGGAGAGGGAAAGCGTTTTGTATGCTGCCTCCAAGGAGTGGGCACAAGTAATGGAGTAGGCACAGGCAATGGAGATTGTCCGTCAACTCGCGCACAATTGAGATATTTTCACAGGTTAATCACGTCTGTTTAGTGGGACTGGATGTCAAGTAGGCTTTAGATGTCGGCTACGAGGGGCCTTAGATGTCTAAAGTAAATAAAACAATGACTTTTCAGTTCTTTGACAAAGAGTTTGATGTAGGATTTGAGGAAAACTGATGTCTAACATATATTTGACGTCGGGAACCCATGTAATCGACGTCTAGAATGGAACTTTATTTATAAAATTGTCATTGATATTTTTTACATTGAGTATTTATTGGTTAGACGTTAAATACTATTTTTGTACGGGTGTCCTAATAAATTAACCACTTATGAAATTGATATTTTAGAAAAAAATATTATTTTCTTCTATAAATGAGACTTTTATTTTTACTTAAACTTCTAAAAAAATTTCCATAACTCATTAGGCAAAAACTGTTCACACACAAGAAAAAAACATCTTATTTATGAAAGTATCTTAAATAAAAAGTTTGCTCGAAATTTCTTTAACAAAGTTCATTTCTTTCATGCTTTAAGATTTGTTTGAATTCAGTGCTTCTTTTGTTTTTTTCAAAATCTTCATAAATAATCATTGAAAGATTTGAAGGTTACACAAACACAAGTAATTACATTATTTTGTGAGAATCATGTTGCCATGCATGTTGCTTCAAATCTGGTGTTACACAACACAACTATTGATTTTCATTTTGTGCATGGATAAGATTCAAATAATTGGTGTACAATTCAAACCACCCCACAATGAAAACAAATAAATAATGTGCATATATAATAGATCTGAAAAGTTTTATTAATGCAAAAGTCCCTCTAATTATTCTGCATTACATATATAACGAGATATATGCAACAATCTCTGCTCCTGTTCATAAATATCGCTTTCAAATAGATGCAAATTGAAGAGCCTCCATGGGATTTGCAACATAGCTGTTGAAGAATTCTCCATAAGTGAATGGACGATAACGTAAGGGATGAATGCTATCCACCAACTCATCGGGAACCTCAATTTTGATCTCTTCCTTTGCGTTTGCAAAAAGTCCAAATGTGTATCTCTCTTTCACTCCTCTCAACACCACTCTGTGTGTGACTGGATGAAGTCTCCCATTGCTCCAGGCCTGTTCATTCATGCAACTTCTTTTTAATCATTCAATGAATCTATATATGGTCAAAGAGTTTCTATTCTCTCTACTTATATATGCATATACCTTTAGTACATCACCAATAATGACTACAAAGCCATCACGTGGTATCTCCATTTCAATCCATTTGTCTGTTTTGTTTAACACCTCAAGTCCTTGAACATCTTTTTGGCATAAAATGGTTAAAGTACTACTGTCGGTGTGAGCTGGAAGAACAGTTTCGTATTCATTATTGCTTTCAGAAACTTTGTATTTCCCCAATCGTGTAAAGCTCGAGCTTTTCATGTTTTCGGCATCTGAAATGTAATGTTGGGGAAGACCATAACCTTCCACAATCATTTTCAAGACAAGGAAACATAGTTCTAGCATCTTTAAGCTCACGGTGTTTAGTGTCTCACTGAAAGTTCAAAAGGTAAATATAATTATAGTACCAATTTAAGGAATAAGAGGTCTAATAGTAATGATTCAAAATAACTCATAATTCAGAACAAAATCAAAATAATAAAGTAGAAGTAAGAGAAGAAGTTATAAATACCAGAAAGGTGGGTTTCCTTGTGGCCACATGAGATTAGTGAAGGCTTCAGCCTTATCAGAGAGAGTAGTATCATCGATGCCAAAGCTTTCAGTGAGGGGAATGAAAGGGTTCTTGCCAGTGTAGTTCCTATAAGGCCTTAGAGTTACATATTGGTGTTTCGTTTCTTCAGGCAAATCAAACAAAGCTTTCATGTGATGAAACATTTCTTCACAAACACTCTTGGGGAGGATCTCGTCACACCTTAAGAGGAAGCAACCGTAATTCTCACACGCTTCTTTCACCTTCTTGCTCATTTCTTTCCACTCCTCACTCCCTTCTTCCAATCTCATCCCACCCTTGCAGAAATCAAAGCATGGAATTATCATATTCTCACTTTCCATTTTACTTTATCTTTGGCTTCTTTTCTTACACCCAGTTCTGTCTTTTATATATATAGAGTTTGTCATACAAGAATATCAACGAGTCAAAGTATTAGCCACCTATCCTCACTAAAAAAACATATTGTGTTTGTTTACTGCTGAAATTTCTAATAATTATGATAATCTTCAAAATTATATAGGTTAAAAACCATTTGTAAAAAAAAAATTAAATGCTCCTTAAATTGTTAAAAAATAAAATTACAAACAATTAAAATCGGTGACAAAATTACTTTTATTTATATAATGTTTCATCATAATAATTAAAAACCGTCAAAAAGCATAATTATTTTAAACCAAAATAATTATTTTACCAAATTTATTCTAAGACATTGTCTTTTAAAAATTTATCTTTTTTTTTTCGGTTTGACTTTCTTTTTCTAAAATTTAACTATTTCTAAAACTAAAATAACTATTTATAATAAAAAAAATTATCTAAAAAGCAAAAATTACATACAATAAAATTATAAACGTTATTTAAGGTTATTTCATAACTATAATAATAAAAATTTATTATTTTTTGTTATTATTAAAAAATAAACATACTCATAATACGTGTCTTCTTATTAATAATGACAATAATAATGATCATAATGATAGATAATAATAATATTGATAAAAATAATAGTGATATTAATGAAAACAATAATGATATAGTATAATATTAAAGAGATACTTTTATGATTTTATTTAATAACATTGTGGTCTTAAATTATACCTTTTACTTTTTTCTGTAAGAAAATAATAATAATTATTGTTGTTGTTTTTTCATATATCTTCTTTCTATTTAAATAATATGTTCTTTAACTTATCTTGTATATATGAATTATGTCACTTTGGATTCTATCATATCTTGTATATATGTGAAGTCTAATAATTATGTCATTTTGAATTGTATGAATTAAGTAATTAATGTGATAATAAATGTGCAGTTAAAAATCTAATAATGTTATTTATAATTTTTTATTGACTTCTGTATTGAGTAACTCTAATTACGATCTAATTTTGTTTAAATATAATTAATAATATTTTAGATTAATTAAATAATTAACTTAATTGATTGGTCTCTTCAACTTGTATTTGAATTTTTTTTCTTGCAATAGACTTTTTAACGCTTTAATTACTACCAATAGAATTTCATGCATTTTATTTCTTTTCGTTTTAATTACCACCAATAGATCTACATGCATTTTATTTCAAGTAGACATATTTATTGTTGATGCAAGTTTTTTATTTTTTTATTTGAAACATAGGATGAGAACCTATTTTTCCATCTTCCTTCCTTTGACCTCCTCACTTTCCCTAGTAATGGATCCTTTCCTTTGTTCTGTGGCATAATATCACTTTTAATATTTTCTTCCATTCTTAGATATATTATCTCTTTACAGTGGCTCGTAAGAAATTAAACACGTATGAAATTGATATTTTAGAAAAAGAAAAAAATATTAGTTTCTTCTATAAATGAGACTTTTAATTTTACTCAAATCTCTAAAATTTTTTCCTTAACTAATTGGGCAGAAAGTCGTTCTCACACACACAAAAAAAAATCATATTTGTGCAACTATCTTAAATAAAAAGTTTGCTTGAAATTTTTTTAATGTTCTTTCAAGATCGAATATATTTGTAAAGATCTTTCTATCACTCATTGTCTTTCTCTACTCGGTGCTTGTCCTCAAAAACTCCAGATACAGTCACAAAAAAGGGAGATTCCTACAAAAGTGAGTTCTTAGTTAGAGCTTTTTGGTTAAATCTCAGTTAATACAAAAGTGAATAGTAAATTATTATTTGTATTATATTTATAGTGTTTTACCTCGACCATAGATTCAACTGGATGAACCATAACTTGTATGGATCATTAACTCACTGGCCCAATCACCTACCAAACAAGTTTCATCTTTTGGCTAAGTTTATTCATACGTCTTTGGATATGCGTCTTTTGGATAAGAGACATCAGTATCCGGTATCTAAGTTGTGATATCCAACCATGATATTCAATGTTCTATTATGATAAGGATATAGACCTTACATGGAAGAACCACTAGGTCCCTAGCCATATACAATATATTTAACAAAGTCAATTTCTTTCATTTTTATGACTTCAAGCTTTGTTCTTAAATTCAATGCTTCTTTTGTTTTTTTTTTCAAAATCTTGATAAATAGTCATTGAAAGATTTGAAGGTTACACAAACACAACCAATTACATTGTTTTGTGAGAATCATGTTGTCATGCATATTGCTTCAAATATAGTGTTTCACAAAACAATTATTGAGTCTCATTTGGTGCATGAAGAAGATTCAAAGAATTGGTGTGCAATTCAAACCACCACAATAAAACAAATCAGTAATGTGCATATATAATAGATGTGAAAAGTTTTATTAATGTAAAAGTCCCTCTAATTATTCTGCATTACATATATAAGGAGATACATATAGCAATCTCTTGCTCCTGTTGATAAATATCGCTTTCAAATACATGCAAATTGAAGAGCCTCCTTGGGATTTGAAACATAGCTGTTGTAGTATTCTCCAAAAGTAAATGGACGATAACGTAAGGGATGAATTTGGTTATCCACCAACTCATCGGGCACCTCAACTTTCATCTCTTCCTTTGGGTTTGCAAAAAGTCCAATCGAGTATCTTTCCTTCACTCCTTTCAACACCACTCTGTGTGTGACTGCATGAAGTCTTCCATTGCTCCATGCCTGTTCATTCATGCAACTTCATTATAATCATTTAATGAATGTATGGTAAAAGAATTTCAATTCTCTGTACTTATATGTATATACCTTTAGTATATCGCCAACAATGACTACAACGCCATCATCGGGTATCTCCACTTCATTCCATTTGTCTGTTTTGGATAACACCTCAAGTCCTGGAACATCTTTTTGGCATACAATGGTTAAAACACTGCCGTCGGTGTGAGATGGAAGAACAATTTCATATTCATCATTGCTTTCAGAAACTTTGTACTTAATCAATCGAGAAAAGCTCGTGCTTATCATGTTTTCACCATTTGATGAGATGTAATGTTGGGGAAGACCATAACCTTCCACTATCATTTTCAAGACAAGGAAACATAGTTCTAACATCTTTAAGCTCATGGTCTTTAGTGTCTCACTGCAAGTCCAAAAGGTTATAATTACAGTACCATAATTGAAATTCAGTCAAATTCAAGGAATAAAAGAACTAATACGAGTGATTCAAAACAAGTCATAATTAAGAAGAAAATCAAAATAATAAAGTAGAAATAAAAGAAGAAGTTATAAGTACCAGAAAGGTGGGTTTCCTTGTGGCCACATGAAGTTAGCGAAGGCTTTAACCTTATCTAAGAGAAAAGTATCATCGATGCCAAAGCTTTCAGAGAGGGGAATGACAGAGTTCTTGCCATTGTAGTTCCTATAAGGCTTTGAAGTTACGTATTGCTCTTTCGTTTCATCAGGCAAATCAAACAAAGGTTTCATGTGATGAAACGTTTCTTCACAGACACTCTTGGGGAGGATCTCATCACACTTCAAGATGAAGCAACCGTAATTCTCACACGCTTCTCTCACCTTCTTGCTCATTTCTTTCCACTCCTCACTCCCTTCTTCCAATCTCATTCCACTCTTGCAGAAATCAAAGCATGGAATCGTCATATTCTCACTTTCCATTTCGTTCTATATGTGGTTTCTCTTCTTATTTCTATCTGCCATATATATATATATTATATATATATATATATATATATATAGAGAGAGAGAGAGAGAGAGTTTGTCAAACAAGTGTTAGTACATAATTACCCTTCTACCACTCTTAATACTCTTAATAGGCTTTGATTTTAACAAAATATAATATAAAACGACACATTAACAGTTTTGTAAATTTTGAGAATATATAGTCAAAATCTATATCATCTTGAAGCCGTATACCCGTTTCGATTTCGATTAATAATAACGAGTCAAAGTATTAGTCACTTATCATTTTTACAAAATTGAAAAATCTTTGGTAAGACAGATTTTTTTTATAATAATTCACAAAATATACATGGTATTTTTTTTATTAGGTTTAGGGTACATTAACACAATAATAAATTAGTGAAAAAAATTAATGTATATTATATCAAAATATGATTGAAAAAAATCTATGTCAAAATAATTTATTTTAAAAATATATTATGGTTTGTGAAAGTTAAAAACTGTTACAATTAAAATAATCCTCAGAATTATATATGCCAAAAACCATTTGTAACAAAAGAATTTAAATGCTGATAAAATTGTTAAAAAAGAAAAACAAAATTACTAACAATTAAAAGCCGTCACAAAATTATTTTTATTTATATAAAATTTCATGTTTGATAATTAAAAACTGTCATAAAAATACAACTGTTTTAAACCAAAATAATTATTATACTAAGTTTATCCTTTAAGAAAGACATTAACTTTTAAAAACTTAACTCTTTTTTCGGCTTTACATTTTTTCTAAAATTCAACAATTTTTAAAACTAAAATAACTATTTATAATAAAAAAATTATCTAAAAAATAAAATAAAATTATAAAGGTTATTTAAGTTTCTTTTTTATTACTATAAAAAAATTATTATTTTTCATTACTATAAAAAAATAAACACACGTAATGCATGTTTTTTAATAATAATAATAATAATAATGACATTAATGAAAATAATAATAACAATAATTATGATATTAATTATGATATTAATTATGATATTAATAATAATAATAATAATAATGAAAATAATAATGATAATAATTATATTAATAATAATAATAACCATAAAATTTAATTTACATTCTTTAATTTACATTCCTTTTATAATAGACTCTTTCACATAATTACTACCAATAAATCCACATGCATTTTATTTCCTGAAGTAGACTCCTTCATTGTTGGTGATTTTTTTTTATTTGAAACAATATAATTTTTTATTCAAGAAAAATATAAAAGTGAATATAAAAATATAGATATATAGAAATTTTTTTTCAAATTTTTTAATTAAAA